GGGCTGGGGATTCGAACCCGCCACCTTAGGTGTACGTGGCTGGCGCCTTAGCCGGTTGAGCTATGGGCGCTGAGCCAAACACAAATTTTTGATGTGTAATTACCATGGAAAGGCCTCTGCGTGGTGTTGGAGTGTATTTTATCCACACAATGCAGCCTTACAAGGCCCTAGGCAGAGAACAGGCTGCGTTCTTAGATCCACGAGGTCACCCCAGAGGCTGTGGGTGGGTAAGGCAGAATGTGAGAAGCGCAGTAGGATGGCGAACCCAGGCAAGATATGAAGGTGGTTCAGGCCAGGGTTGGGGAAGAGATGGTACTAAGAAGGAGTGTGAGGAGGAAGGCGCCAGCCACATGCTCCAAGATTGGTGGGTTCAAACCCTGCTAAACAAACAAAAAAATATATCCAAGTGTTGTGGCAAGCTCCTGTAGTCCCAGCAACAAGGGAGGCTGAAGCAAGAGAATCGTTTGAGCCCAAGAATTGGAGGTTGCTGTGAGTTATGACGCCACAGCACTCTACCGAGGGCGACAAAGTGAGACTCTGTCTCAATTTTTTAAAAAGAAGGAAAAAAAGGGGGTGGTCGGATCCTACCCTGCAGCTGCGGCCCTGAACTCGAGGACTCTACAGCGGTGGCACAGAAGGCAGCAATGTCGTCATATGCTTGGAAGTCTCACAGACCTGGGTCTTTGGGATAGCTAATCTCTCCGGGCCTTAAGAGTCCTCACCTATAAAATGGAAATATTACCAAAATGTAATTCACACATATGGGTACCTACTGTAAAGACAAGCAGCAACTTCCGGGTCAGCGCACGCTGGAAAGCGCAGAGGGCTCGCAGGGCGCGCGCGCCGGTCTCAGCCTCGGAGCGAGCATGCGCACGGCACCGCCCTCGCTTACGCCTGCGCGGAGCCGCGGTCAGTTTGGCGGCTGGGTTAGTGGTCTCCGGGCTCGTAGTGGTGGCTGAACCTTCGCCATGCCCGGCATGGTGCTCTTCGGTCGGCGCTGGGCCATCGCTAGCGACGACTTGGTCTTCCCAGGATTGTTCGAGTTGTTCCTGCGAGTGCCGTGGTAAGGACCACCGGCTTTGAGGGCTACTGGACCGCGCAAGGAGGGAGCCGGGGAAGGGAGGCGAGCTGTCTGTCCCGGGAGACAGCAGTAGTGGCCAGTTTACTGAGCGCTGGCACGGTCCAAACGCTTGCCATGCATTCTCTTATCTAGGCCTCACCTACCGCATGAGCAGGTAGTACTGTTGCTGTCTCCTTTTTACGGACGGCATCTGAAGTCCAAAGAGGGTAGGCCATACCTGGGGTCACACAGGGGGTCCTTGAAGTCCGCGCTGCAGGACACCAGCACCCCTCCGTGTGCAGCGCTGCCACCTGCGACCTCGAGGACGTCGTTACGGACCAAAAGCCATGGCCTCGAGGTCTCCTTCCTCGAGCCAGGAGCAGCCACTTGTATCATTCCCTCCTGTGGCAAAGCACCTGTATCTGCAAAATGAAGGTTAGGAAAAAATACATTTCAGCGTCATTCTTGAGCCAGTGTGGCTGAATGTCTGGAGAAGCAGACAGGCTTGACAGATATTCTGTCGTTCCAAGGGCAGAGACAGTGGGAAGGGACATTGGTGCATGCAGTCAGTTCCCAGAGGGTCTGGCAAGGAATAATGTTGTTATGAAATAGTGGATTATTGAGGGAAAGGAGTATAAAAACATAAAATGTTATGGGCTGCTTCTCAGGAATTTTATAGTTTTCAGGGCCAGGTATTTCTAAGATAATTTCTCCTTTATTATTTCTAGATAAAAAGTCCTGATCTCACAAAACTGACAAAAACATAAACAGTTAATGTAGTCCAATTCCACTTGGAGGGTTGAATCGTTAGTAGGGCACTCTTGCCAGGTGCTGATCTGTTTTCTGCTGAAAGACCTCTCATGAATGTATATTATTGCTTTGGGTGATTGGTGCTGTCATTGTTCTGCACTAAATTACAAAATATAGTTATAAGGCCACAGTACTTTCAAGTTTATCAATGTTAACTGTGGAACATTTTTGTATAACTGGCTTCCTGTGCTCTTGGTTTTGTAGTGCACATAGCAGATTACAATGTGTGTTTGTTAATTTCTTAATTCAAAGAAGTAAAAATTCCCTTTGTTTTTGTTTTCCTTTTCTTTTGAGACAGAGCCTTACTCTGTTACCTCAGGCTAGAGTTTAGTCATAGCTCAGAGCCACCTCAAACTCCTGGGCTAAAGCAATTCTCTTACCTCAGCCTCCAGAGTAGCATGCACCATCACACCCAGCTAATTTCTCTATTTTTTGTATAGACGGGGTCTCCTCTTCTTCAAGGTGGTCTTAAACTCCTAAGATCAAGCAATCCACCCTCCTCAGTGTCTCAGAGTGCAAAATTCTTTTGTTAATATGTTAGCAAACATACAGTTTATTGGTTTACCAGCTATGTGTTTCTGAGTCACAGTGGGAGTATTTTCCTGCAGTTCACATTATATTTGCTTGCTCATGGCTTTAAATGCCTCCTATGGATATAGCAAGCACAGAGTGAGAAGAGTGATACAAGCATAGAAAGAATAAAACTCATTAAAAAAAAAAAAA